AACACTAGGCACCCCTAGGACTGACTGAGCTCGCGGCGATCGAAGTGCCTCTATTTATACTTCCCGAGGCAAGCTAACAGAGAAAGAGAGAACAGAGAAGTAGAGCGTAAGCGGAATCGCTACAGCGCTGTAACAGTGGGAGGCAGGCATACCTAATGTTATTGTGAGTAAGAAAGAGAGCGAGGGGCAGAGGCTTACAGAGGCTTGCAGAGCGAGAAGATGCTAAGCTATTCGATGCTATTGCAATGTTATAAAGTAAATGAACCGAAACTAACTTCCGCCAGCCGCTGTTTATATATTATTGCAAATTTCACTTCGATCATTAATAATTTATAGAATATATATATTTTATATATATTTATGTTACAAAAACAACAAAGTAATACCTACTTTTATTACATTCAGCCATACATATTAAATTTATAGATTTACACTCATAGTTTTGCATTTCCTCTACATTTAACGATCGGCTGTTTAGCAGCTATAGAATATAGTTGTTGGATCAGACCCGTTGAGGGAGAGAGTATATAAAAGACTTAGTTCAAAGATTCATTTAAATAGCTTCCAGACTGAGAGGATGGTTTGCGGAGAAACGGACAGACGGAGGGATCAAGAACATATATTCTTTAGATGACCGGAAATGACTTCTTCACTGCGTTGGAAGCTTTTGAACTGAAATTATAGTACCCTACAAAGATATTATAATGTAGCAAAAGTTGGATAAAAAATCAATATTCATGAATAATTTTTAATTAAGTACGGCTGTTAACTTTGAGTATACATTTTTAAAATATTTTCTATACAAATTGCTGTTTCACTTTCAATCAAAATTAAATAATAAGGTCAATGGTAATAAGGAAATTAATTAAAAAATAAATGCATAGCATATGCATATAATATAATATAATATAATATAATATAATATAATATAATATAATATAATATAATATAATAATATAATATAATTGTCATAGTAAAGACTTACCCCAGTATAGGACACGTCATCTTTCGTCATTCCTTTATTCATTTCCGTGTAGTTAAATAGTTATATTCCTTGTGCATTCATTGAAGTGTTCTTCTTCTTGCCGATCCGAATGCATTCCATTGGCCACGTCATCTTTTTGCCTGTTCAAGAGTTATCACGATCACTTTCACTACCGATGTAAACACTAGGTACCCCTAGGACTGACTGAGCTCGCGGCGATCGAAGTGCCTCTATTTATACTTCCCGAGGCAAGCTAACAGAGAAAGAGAGAACAGAGAAGTAGAGCGTAAGCGGCATCGCTACAGCGCTGTAACAGTGGGAGGCAGGCATTCCAAATGTTATTGTGAGTAAGAAAGAGAGCGAGGGGCAGAGGCTTACAGAGGCATAGGCGGGAGTAAGCTAATCACTGCTATTACAATGTTATAATATTAAATGAACCGAAACTAACTTTCGCCAGCCAAAATTTATATACCATTGCAAATTGCAATTCGAACATAAAAATGAATATAAATTTATTATTAATTAATTAATTATTAATTTTTAAAAATTGAATCATTTCTTATTAATTTATATATATTTATGTTAAAGAATCAACAAAGTAATGCCTACTTTAATTACATTCATCGATACATATGGAATTAATAGTTTTGCAATCACAGTTTTGCATTTTTCGTTACATTTATTGATCGTGCCAATGGCAGCTATAGGATATAGTTGTTGGATCCGTTGAGAGAGAAAGTGTATAGAAGACTTACTACAAATATTCATTAAAAACTGAGAGGCTAGTTTGCATAAAGACTGACAGACGGACAGACAGACGGGGATGGATAGATCGACTTGGTTTTTGATGCTGAACAAGAATATATATATACTTTATATAACCGGAAACGACTTCTTCACTGCGTTCCAAGCTTCTGAACTGAAATTATAGTACCCTACAAGGATATTAAAATGTAGCAAAAGTAGGATAAAAATCTATATTTTGGAGTTATTTTTAATTAAGTTGGGATATTAACTTAGAGTATACATTCGTATCTATCCGTAATACAAACTGATGTATCACTTTTAATTAAAATTAAGTAAATTAATGGGAAAATAAGTAGCTTGCTAGCACATTTAATTCTGGAGCTAGGTCTGACCTCGCTTATATTATCTATATATGTATATGATATAATAGTAATGGATGAATTCCATTGGCCACGTCATAGTTTTGAGGTCGAAAGGCAATCACTATCACGATCACTATTTTCTTTGTAATTTTTCCATTATTAAAACCTTAACAACATGCTAATTAAATTTTACCCATCTGACATGTTTGAAATTAACAGATATTTTTAGTATAAAGAAAGTAATGGATTTTTGTAGAGGAAATTTTTAACTTTTCGATTACTTTTAGGGGGAAATTAAGTATTCCTCTAAAAGTGCAATATTTATTTGCAATATAACCTAGAAGCCTTGAATTATTAAGATGGCCTAACTAAAATCTAATTAAAATAAGCTTTATAATATATTATTTTTAATATTATATTCAATTGAATGATATCCTCTATAACCCACTGTGGGACAGGACGATGCCTTGACCGAGTAAGCCGCTAAGCTAACCTTGTTACACACGCCACATCCTCGATGGTGGCAATGGGTGTTGGTGGTTGGGAGAACCGATTTGCCATATGTCAGGTGGATGAAGCCCAGCAGCCAGAGAGCAGCGTTAACAAGTTGCCCACCTGGGCACGTGTGAAGAGATTTACGGCAAAGGAGCGGTGGTGCACTGCGGCATTGGGAAGTCTGGGAAGTCCCAACTGTCAGGCTTCTTCCCCATGGATGTGGATGTGGATGTGGATGCCAGCTGTCTGTCCCGGCTCCGGTCGCCTGCATCCTTTTGTCTTTGCATTCTGGCGGGTATGGAAGCGTAGAAGAATGGGGATGGAAAACGAGGTGGCAACAACTGACAGCCAGTTCCGCGATGGGGGATTCCCCTCAACTAGCACATCCAGCTTTTCCCCTGCCTTGCCACTTTACCGTGCGCTTTTATTATTATAAAATACGCATGAGTTAGTGTGCATATTTCATGGATTTTGTGTATAAAAGGGATAAAAATGCAATCAGTCGCAAAAACCAGCAAAGTGAAACGGACAACGGAGGATGGGAATAGTCTGGCATGGAGTCCACCCACAACTAAGTCCTCATCTGCCCCGGGGGGAGGGGATAGAGGACACCACCCTTGGGTCTCCCTTTGTCACCCGCGAAATCTCCGCGAAATCCCAGCCGAAATCTCTCTTACAATGCGATTTGTCCACACAGGAGAGTCCTTGATCCGGGCTAATTTCGTAATGGGAAACTCTACGTGGAAAGTGTGAAAAGGTCGCGGATGATAAACTGGAAGCCGATTATTACAATGAAAATAGGGTTAAGTTGGTGCTAGGAAACACCAAGTTATAAAGAGTTAAATTAAATTTAAATTAACACAAAATATTAAACATAAAACTAGCTTCAAGAGGTTGTTATACAATCAGTTTGAAGAGTTTCAGAGATTTTGATAAGCAAATCAATATGAAAGTAATCAAGGATACCCCAAGACTATAGCTTAAAGTTAATTCCTGGCATTCGTTTCCACTAATTCTAATAGTTAGTAAAGTATAGAAATCACTTCCTTATCCATTTCTACATACTTTGTTATGGACTATACTATATGTATCCATGTTAACCAATTAAGTAAGATACAAGTATCGATTACTGATGACAGGAGTGTGGCCACAATCTATGTAATCTAGATACCAGAATCAGATGAAGATTATCATGAATCCAACACAATGCTTAGAAATTGAAGCACGAGCCGGCACGACTTATGATGTGCCAAAAAGGACACCAAAAAGGAAGCTGAAGAGAAAACCCAAGCCCGAGACAGGGTCAGCAACCAATCGATCGAATTAGCCATGTGGATAATCGAGCCCCAAACTGAAAGTCCTAGGTCCTGGCCAATTACTCAATATGATGAATGACCCACCGAATGCTTAAATGAGACCAGTAGGGATGGACACACACACCATACACACACCCCTCACACCATACACCTTTCCACTACATACGTGCCGCACCGTAACAGGTAACCTCAAGCAGAGCAAATGAGCAATCTGTCGGATTGAGCAGAAGTTGTCCGTGGAAAGGTAAACAGGAGGAGGAGAAGGATGAGGCAGGCAGGATGCCCAAGATGGTCTAGTTCCAAAGAACATACACCAAACAAAATTGGGAATTATTTGAAGGAAAAAGAGGGTTAATATGTGCAAGGGTTTCGTTTTGCTGAAGTAGGAAATAATAAAATACCTCTATTTAATTAAATTAAGAAATCTCAAAGGACCTCAATTTCAACTCAACCTCTCGACATACTTTATTTAAAAAAAAAAGAAGAAAAGATTATTAAACAATTCGATAAACTGAACCAATGTCTAAATACATAAAAAGTCTCCACAATTAGATTTGGGCACAACTTAACATTTTGGGGATCAGTGTACAAGTTGGGCCAGGACATATGCAGTGTGTGTGTGTGTGTGTAAGCCGCCGGGTTAAGGACACAAAAGTCATGGCTGGCATGAGGACGAAACTCAAGTGCCATTGAGGAGGAGTGCTCATGTTCCCAGCCCTGCCTCCAGCTCCTCGACGACGCTCCTTCATCCTCATTTTCTTCCGTTTTTCGGCATCCTCCACAATTCACTTTCCACTTTCCACTCTCCTCCAGGCGCGGAGCAAGTGCGCGAGTAAATTCAAGAAACAATTTTCAGGAATGACTTAACTTTTGCGTTTATGTGAAAAGTTTTCGCCACGTGATGTTATGCGAGCGGCGAAAGGATATGCAATTCACTGCCATTGCAGCGTGGAGCGATTGTGTGTGTGTGTGTGTGTGTGAGTATGTGTGTGTGTGTATATGCGACCTGGCGGAGTGGCGGATGGAAAGTTGTCCTGCACCCATTTGCCCCACCACCAACACCAGCACCACCACCATCACCACCACTACTACACCTTAGCAGAATCGCAACGACAGGCACTGGTCGAGATCCAGGCCACGGGTTATATAGGCAAAGTCCTGGCCATCTAGATGTGTCTTCTCGGTGAGAAGCTGCTTGAGACGCCAACGCATTGCCCGGACCTCTCGTGGTGTGGCCGGCAGACAGGCAATTAGCTCCTGGCACTGCTCCATGCTCAACAATCCATCACCATCCTCATCGTACAGGCTCACCATATAGTCCAGCTTCCGTTCCAGCGGCTCACTGCGCCGGAAATGGGCCAGGCCGCGTACAAAATGACGGAACCCCATCGATGGATTCAGCAATTCGTCCACAATTCGCTCGGCCAGCGGATGACCGGCCAGAAGGGGCATGCGCAGCATCTCACTACGCAGGATACGATTCTCATCATCGCGATCCAGCGACTGATACTGACCATACAGATAGTCGATCCTTGGCAATGAGAATCCACTCTCCGATTGGATGAGATGCAGCTCCTCGGTGGACAAATGACGTGAGGCGGTCGTTCCCATGACCCTCAGTTTCGGCTTAACTGATTCAACGTCCACAATATATATTAAAATATATCCAATCACGAGATATGCGCTGCAGCAATTCTACCCAATGTCGCTGATTATATAGTGTATTATTGTAATTTGGATATACTTTTCTTTTTTCTTTTCTTTTTAGGCCGTGTGTGACATTGTTTCTTTGTGTGACAGTGTACGAAAAATAATCTTTTAATGGAATCCTGCCGGCATCTATGAGATTTTGGGACTGAAACTTTACAAAGTAAGTATCAGAAAATGCTAAGCTTATGTTGTTTATTTTTCACTGACGGAAAAGTGATTGTTTTAAGGTTTAAATTTTATTTATACTCGTTAGCGAAATATGTTATAGGTTAGCGCTAATCTAGTAGTAGGACTACAATTCCGTCTATGAGAAACAACAAATCTCTGAGATAATTACAAAGAAACTAATAAACTAAAATGGTTTCTAAAAAATATTCGTTAAAACTTATTCCATCAATGTTGCCTTGACCCAACTTCAACTCTGAAAACTCATTCGTTTGGAGAATGTTCAATTCAATCAGTCAGTATTATAAAGCGAACACAACCGGTAAGCTAGCAAAATTTATAGAAAAAACAAAATTTAAAGAAAATTTATATTCCTTTACTATATTATTATTTCCCTATAGGGAAACCCACATCGGCAAAGACAAATCAGCGGATACAGTATGACTTTCTGATGATGTGGAACAGTCTTTGAACCTTTTGAAAAAGAAGAAATACCGAGAAGCCTACACATAGCAAAAAGTAAGACCCTGAGATTTATAGCAATTCTTATTTGCGGTTGGTTAATGACCAGAGTATCCTTTTCCTTTTCTTTTTAGGTAAGCAAAGAGTTCGACAACCTATAGCCTGGAATCTTCAGTCAGCCAAGATTTTCGCAATCTTGTCCTGTTAACTAATCCTGTAGAACTACCTGGCCAACATTGAAATTTCCAAAAGCTATATATAGTATATTTTATACTGTCACCTAGTAGGTTTTCTTCTATCCAATGAGGAACTTATCCTGATCAAATATCTACTTTTAGCCACACAGCAAATCAGATGATGTAACGTCCATCAACGATCATATCTTTAAAATGTTTCAAGAAGATTCTAAGGTTATGAAAAAGGAAGAATATATGGAAAATATAGAAGATAATGGTACGAGGTAAGACTCTCGTATCGTGGCAGCAGATCAAGGCAAGACATTTCTACCAACACGAAATACCTATGGCTTCGGATTTGTGAAACAGCCCAAGATTCCAGCACAGTGGGAAAAATAAGAACTGAGCAGATTTGTTCATAGCAAACCGACAAAAAGAAAGAACACCCAAGATTATGAAAGATATCCAGAAGAGCCAATGCAAAAAGAGAAGGACTGCTGCTACAAAGGGAATACAAGTATTAGGAAAGCCAAGCTTGAGCTACGGGAGACAAAGGATCACATACCATTGCTGTCTTTGATTCCGAGTATCTGAAACCAGGATTCAATAATCCTCACAACTCTTTGGTCATCTCGATCAATGAATGGATGCTTTTCTGGTTACTACCTGGAACAAATAACTGCTTTCGTCCTATTTATGTATGAGAAGTGGATTTAGAACTTTCAGAATTTCCTAGTTTCTAAGATCCCAGGTCCCTGGTGAAGTCCAACTATGTTGCCTGTGGCTGCGCCAAGTTATAGGTAAGCTCTGCTAAAAAATCGTATAGAGATCGAGCTTCTTATGCATCCAGGAAAGATTTAAGCTAAAAAACAATCCTTGACAAACTGGAAGTATTTAGTTTTAGATAGTCTGGCGACTATTGATATTATATCATATAATTAATATAATTAATAATGGCTTGACTCTATTAAAAACTATAGTAAATCTTTTAATTTATCTATGATTGTTTTTATTGGCTGAAATTTGCTCTGGATGCAATAGATTCTCGTTCAGTAAACGACTTTTGAGATGGGTTTAACTATAACTAGGCGTGGTTCCAGGCAACATGGTTGGGCCTCGCCAGGGATGAGGGATCCAAGGACCAGGAAAATTCTGTTAGATGGAAGTCCATATTTTAAATACCTAAATGCTGGATTATTAAAAGAACAAGGTCAAGTTTCAAGTTTCAATATAAAATACTTTTAAAGTAACATTTTTTTGGAAAACCGTAAAACTGAATGATTTAATTAAACATTTTTTGGTAACATGATAATTAGATAAAGTGAAAGACATTTAAATGGAGGACCTGGCATTATTCACAAAATGAGCTCGCAAATATATATATAGTGATGGAGCTTGGATCTCAGGTGAGGGGGATAACATATAATTTAGACACCGAGCGTGGCGACTGTGACAGGTGGCCGCCGCCTCCCCTTTTTGCCCGCCGGCCACTTACCCCTTGCCCGGGCTGTGTGTGTGAGCCTTCACTCATTGTGGCATATGTCAAAATTAATTTCGTAGGCAATATTTTGACGTGCTTTCATGCTAAGCCGAACCGAGTTGAGTCCCTTTTCCTCCAGCCCCTCCAAAATGCAGCCATAAAGTGGAAGAATATATGTTAATGCTAAGCGAGCAGTGATGAGAAGGATAAGCATATCCTTTATGAGGTACGACTCAAAGTAAATTAAGACAGCAGAATAAATCAGGAGTAACCAAGGGTAACACTTGTTCAAAGATAGTGCATATATTAAGGATATTTTAAACATAATCAATCAACTTTAAATCCGAAAGTTAGGTACTTTTTTGTACTTTACAAAAAAAAAGGATATACCTTCGCCGGTACAATATCCTGACAAGTGTTGCCCAACGCTGTATGTGAGTGACAGGCCAAGGTAACTTTGCCCTCCAGATTTGAATTTCTCGGTTTGGTTTGTTTGGGTATCGTTCCGTTACGTTTTTGTTTAGATTTGGTAGCTTCTTTTTGCTTGCCAGTCATTGCCCCAAATTCCAGATAGAATGGCATTTTTCCACATCATCGAAATGGTACTTGGGGGTGAGATGGAGGAGATGGAGGAGGAGGATGCCCTCACCTGATGGCATCACTCCCACAATATGCAAATCTCATTGCCGGAGACGCATTGAAGAGACCACAAACCGGAGGCTGATGGCCTGATAGCTGACATTAAAACCATTACACCGATGCCACCACCTTCCATGTCCATTGATCCTGCTCCTGCTCCTGCTCCTGCTGCTACTGCTCCTGCTGTTCCTGCTCCTGCTGCTCCTCCTCTCACAGCAAGACAACAAATTACAAAAATTAAGAGAACATTTTTGTGGATGAAAGACATCGTCGAAGGAGGAGCAGCTAATGGGCGGTCCCTGTCCAGGAGGTGTGTGCAAATTAATGAAATTAAATCGTCTTTATTTGATGGCTCCAAGAGGCGGTGAGAAAAAAAAAAGAAAAGAATATTCACTCCTTGTCAGCACGGGTTCGCATGGCAAATATCCTAATGGAAGCGAGACAGACGCAGATAAGGGAGGACACAGGACAGGAAGGACACTGACACTGAGGGGGGCGGCGGATCCTTTTCTGCAGGTGAACTTGAATGTTGGCAACAACATTGTTCAAAAACAGCAATGAACAGTAATAAACTTAAAGGACCAAGGCCACAAGGATGCAGGAATGTAACCAAAAGAATTTGAAAGATTTGAAGAAAGTAAACACAAATTCAAAAGTAAAAGTAAGAAGACTGAAAATTAATCAAATCGAAATTAAACATACAATATATGGAAAAAGAGAGTCAAGATAATTGGGAAAAATGACTTAAAGATGGTTGGAAAAAGATATATAGAATGTATATAAAAAGCAAAGAACTTAAAGTTGAAATATGATAATAAATAAAACAATTAAATATTATATAAAAAAAGATGAAAGGGAGTTTGGCTTAAATGAAAATGATACAAGATTTAGAATATTGTTTTCAAGGCTATGACAATTTTTTCTTAAGCTTAATAGATACAAAATAAAATAACTTTAATTATTAAAGTCCTTCACTTACATTTGATTTATTTCTTTCTTTCTGCACATTAGAAATTCACAACAATTATGCAACAAAGTCAAATTCCATAATTAAACCCAAGAAACTGATACTCCTACAGGTTTCCCCTCTACATTTACCTTTTATAATATTTTTCTCAAAGCCAACAAAATGTTTGGTTAAGGACTTCCTGTCCTGCAGGGCATTCCCACTTCGAATCCCGCCGAATCACTTCCTCACCGGATAGATGGATGAATGAGTGGCTGTGGGGGTGGAGAATGGGTAAGGGGAATCGGAACGGAGATTGTGTTTTCACTTTCGACATTGCATTTAATACGTATGAAATTGTTTGGTGATGGGATCCGGAACGTGATGCGAATACCCAGAATTAATTGCAATCGGAGCGGCGACGCCAGCCAAGGAATCAAGCCGATTCTGTCGATTCCGAGGGAGTCAGCAGGCAACCAGCGCTCATAATACTATTGGATGCTCTACTGGGTCCTTGTCCACTGTCCTCGGTCCTCGGCCCTCCTCCCTCGTCCCTTTTTTCGTTCTCGTCCTGGTCCCCCTCCTTGTCCCCCGTCCGTTTCCCGTATCCTTGTCCTCGTCCTCGTCCTCGTCCCCTTTCTCATCCTTTGCCTCTGTCCTTTATTTGGATGCTGGGTGTTGTTACACTGACCAAAAACCTGAACTTTAAGTGGCTAAATAAAGAAGTATTTAAGGAATCAAGTGGTCTCAATATAGGTTTTTTTTCCTTTAAAGAGTTTTTTAAATATTTTTTAAATTCTAATATCTGCAGAGAGAAGAGCCCAGTTATTTAGGATTAGCCTTACCTTATGCCTCATCTCAAAAGGACTGCCTTTAATCCATAAGGAGTTCTTTAGAATCTCAAAAGATATCTAGAAGGAGTCTAAAGGGACTTTAGAAGAACTCTAGAAGAACTCTAGAAGAACTCTAGAAGAACTCTAGAAGAACTCTAGAAGAACTCTAAAAAGAACTCTAAGAAGAACTCTAAGAAGAACTCTAAGAAGAACTCTAAGAAGAACTCTAAGAAGAACTCTAAGAAGAACTCTAAGAAGAACTCTAAGAAGAACTCTAAGAAGAACTCTAAGAAGAACTCTAAGAAGAACTCTTAGAAGAACTCTAAGAAGAACTCTAAGAAGAACTCTAAGAAGAACTCTAAGAAGAACTCTAGAAGAACTCTAGAAGAACTCTGGAAAAACTCTAGATGGACTCCAGATAAAATCTACAACCTTTTCTGATATATTTCAGATATCATAAGATTCAGAACAAATTCCCTTTTTAATTTCTTAAATATCTTTTATAGAATACTCTCTACTTTTTGTATCAGTGTACCAGCTTGATGCCATTGGTAGCTCTGGTGGTAGCTGTTGTTGCCAGTGGCTTTCTTTTGTCGCCTGCCACACAAAAGCAGCGGGGACGAAGGACACCACAACAACACAATACAACACCTTTTGGCCAAACTACCCTGGACCCCATCCTGACCCACCCACCGCCGTGTGGGAAGCACCCGCTGATCTTTTGCAAAAGGTGCCCAGCGGCCGGTGTTGGTACCCGGTGCCCGGTGCCCAAATCCCCCCATCCGGCCCAGCCCAGCGGATCCAATGGACAACAGAAATTAGCAACTGGAATCAACGGACAAACGACAATTAACGGATGCGAATGAGCATAAGGGTGGAGAGACAGAGAGACAGTGGAGTGGAGCAGAATGGAGCGGGGTCAGAGGGCAGAAATGAATGAGTAAGTGAGCTGCCGTTTGGGGTGCAGGTGATGGGTTAGGTGGCATCGCAAATTGTTTGGAACAAACACGGCAAAAAAAAAACGAGAAGGGATAGATGAAAAGAAGGCCGGAGGACACTGGACAGAGGTGTAACCAACACCTGGCCATTTGGTATTTAGGGTATTCCCCCATCCATTGTGGTCGCCACAGAGAGAAGGTGGAATGGGTTATATACATATATTGGTTAGACTCCTGGTTGCCTTCTTTTCTATGCCTGCGGGTGTCACTTAAATCTTTAAGTGGAGACCACAATAGCGGTTAAAATTTTAGTACCAATATGATTTTAGGAGGCGTCAAAAAGCGATACTACACTTTAGAAAACCATATAATTTTCAATGACAAACTTGAACGTGAACTGTACACTCAGATGTCCTGGCATGTGAGTGGGTGTCACTCCAATGCAAGATAATGGTGGATGCAGCTGCAATGCTCCCTGCAGCGGCATAACCACTCAAGCAATCATCGGTGGGGGGCAGGCGGATATGACTCAAAAAAAAAAAAATACATCAAGGGATTGTAGTTGTATTTCTCCAAGGGCAGCTAAATGAAAATGGGACTGGTAGATGTATGTAACTGCAGACAGCATTTACAAAACAGTTCCGTAACGACAAACTTGCGCTGACAAATCCATCGCAAGGATACACATGCCATGCAGCAAGGGTATGCCAAGCGGAACCCAGTCCTTCGTCCTATGTCCTACGTCCATTGTCCTTTGTTTGCGTTATGCAGCAGCATCAACAGCAGCATCAGCAAGCAACAACAACTTTTGGCCGGGAATAGTCAATTTCCGTGTTGAACTGGGTTATAGTGCCGAATGAAATTTATGGCTGCACATAAATGCAAGCGAAAGACTTTAAATTGTGGCTCCTTAAAGTGTCCCATTTACCTTGGAAAAGAAAGAGAGCGAGAAATAGAGAGGAAGCCCACGCGGCGTATGAGGAATGCAAGATTGCTCATACCACCCGTGGTCCCTCAACTGGGGTGACAGTTGATTTGCCTGCCAGCAAATGCAGTCACTGTTTTGGGGCACCACCGTTGCCACCGCCACCACCGCCACTGCAGTCAGCAATTACGGCAACTAGAGATTTTTCTTAGAAAACCGCACGACGGAGACCCGGACGACTAGGACGTGGAGAGGACTATGGCGCCAGCATTCCAAAGTAAATTACAAACAAAAATGTTGCAACGAAAACGAAAAGCGGAAACCGCAACGGCAGCAGCGAAAATGTAAACAGAAAACAAAAAAAAAACAAAAAAACGAAACCGGGTTCCGAGGGGGCGGCCAAGGACTTACAAAAAAAATATATACAAAAATAAACAAAACAAGAAAGGAAGCTTACT